CTCACCTACCCCCTTAGCCATGTTAACCTTAAGGGAATCACACTTGTTCCAAGTCACCTAAAAATAGATTTTCTTTAAATCAGCTTACTTAACTATCATAAGTGGGCTCATCCTAAGCTCATGGTTCCCAGTCAAGGCTATCTTGGATCTCTGGAGGACATTTGGCAGTATCTGAAGACATTTTTGGTTCTCTCACCTTGGGGTGGGGGCGCTTACTCCAGGCATCTGGTGGGTGGACCCCAGGGATGGGGCTAACTGTTGTACATTGCACAGGCCAGCCCCCGCACAGCGGAGAATGGTCTGGCCTAAAATGTCACCAGTGTCGAGGATGAGAAACACTATCACAAGGAATGATACTGGTGAAACCACAAGTGTGAAATCACATGCTAGTTCAATTTTTTTGTTGTTTGTTTGGCACAACATTAAAATAAATATGAAACTAGTAACATGTAAAAGTTCCTTTTGAGTGCCCCCCCAAATCATTTGCATGCACTCTCAGGGCTGTGTCTGCCCCTCTTTGGAAAACAGGGCCCTCCCCAGTCTCCTCAGTGGATTGCCAGAGAACTTCCCAGGTGTGCTTTCAAAGGATGGCCCTTCTCCTCTTCATCATCCCTCCTTCCCCAGAGGAAAACTTAGTAGATGCAGGAGAGCCCCTGGGCACATGGTCCGTGTCCAGAATTCTGGAAGCCAAATCTTCTCTCCCAGGGTGGGGCGGCTACACCCCAGATAGTTCTGTTCTTGGCCCTCTGGTATCCTTCACTATGAAGAACATCCAGTCAGCCCTTCAAAACCTCCCCAGGATATTTACCCCAAAGATACAAAAGTAGGGATCCAAAGGGGTACGTGCACCCCGATGTTTATAGCAGCAATGTCCACAATAGCCAAACTGTGGAAAGAGCCAAGATGTCTATCGACAGATGACTGGATAAAGAAGATGTGGTATATATATACAATGGAATATTATGCAGCCATCAAAAGGAATGAGATCTTGCCATTTGCAACGACGTGGATGGAACTGGAGGGTATTATGTTGAGTGAAATAAGTCAAACAGAGAAAGACATGTATCATATGATCTCACTGATATGAGGAATTCTTAATCGCAGGAAACAAACTGAGTGTTGTTGGAGTGGGGGGTGGGGTGGGAGGGATGGGGTGACTGGGTGATAGACACTGGGGAGGGTATGTGCTCTGGTAAGCGCTGTGAATTGTGCAAGACTGTTGAATCTCAGATCTGTACCTCTGAAACAAATAATGCAATATATGTTAAGAAAAAAAAAAAGAAGAAGAAGGTAGCGGGAGGGGAAGAATGAAGCGGGGGAAATCGGAGGGGTAGACGAACCATGAGAGACGATGGACTCTGAAAAACAAACAGGGTTCTAGAGGGGAGGGGGGTGGGAGGATGGGTTAGCCTGGTGATGGGTACTGAGGAGGGCACGTTCTGCATGGAGCACTGGGTGTTATGCACAAACAATGAATCATGGAACACTACATCTAAAACTAATGATGTAATGTATGGGGATTAACATAAGAATAAAAAAAAAAATTAAAAAAAAAAAAAAAACCTCCCCACAGGAAAGAACAGTCACATGCTGTTGGCTTTGGCTAGCATGCTGTGAGGGGGACAGCTCACCCCCACACAGGGACCCCTCTTGGAGTCACACCCGTTAGCCCGAGGGCGTTGACCCTCCATGCATGGCCAGCCATGGCACGAGACGGGCCTTCTGCGTTGGTGCTGTGCCATCGGGGAGATGACTCACTTTGTGTCCACACCATTCCATCAGCCTCATCTGGTCCTTGGTCTTCGGGGAGCTGTAGGCTGTTGTTGTCTTTCCCGAGTTCTAACTTCCTGTGTGAAAGAGGCTCTGGAACCCATCCAAAGTACTAATGTTTTTCTGTAACTGTTGGCACAAGCCCGTGACCAGATCTTACTCTGTGCTGGGCCTCCGTCCATCCTGGGACTCACGATGGGACCCCATTCAGCTGCCCACAGGCGGATCAGACAAGAGGGGCATGGATGAGTTTTCTGGCAGAAAGTGGTGCCCCAGATATTACCCATATGGCAGGGGCAAGACAGCAGATGTGGCCGAGCTTGGCAGACCCAACCGTGCAGAGGCAGGCAGCAGATGTGTGAGGCCTGGGTCAGCTCCCACTTCTCTCCCCCCCCACCCCCCCAGCCCCCTTCGCTCCTAAGAGAGGCATTAGCTGCTCCATCCTGGAGCACAGGTGTCACGGGGAGACCTGTCTTCCAGAGTTCACTGTGAGCTGTGGCTGTACATCACGTGTCTGTGGCTCAGCCCTCACAGGGCCCCTTCCCTCTGCGCATGCGTGGGGTCCTCACCCAGTCCTTGGCAAATCTGTTCTCGTGCAGCCGTTCGGAGGTCAGGGAGATAGACGGCTGGGCTGCTAAGGACTCCTCTGCTGCTCGTTGGCTGGAGCATCGCAGACCTCTGCGTGTGTTGGCGTCAGCAGAACCCGCTCTGCTTAATGGCCAGATTAATAGAAGGAGGAAGCCTAGGAAGGTTTAAATCCCTGGCGTCAGCCTTCCCTCAACGGGCTGCCCCTGGGGTGTACCAAGGAAGCCCTGACGGTGGTTACCCAGGAACCAGGGGACCGAGAGATGAAAAAGCAAGTGTGAAAGGAGTTGGAATGTGGTTGGCAGCATTCCCATGGTCCCCTCCCTGGCACTGACGTTTCCGTTTGCCAAGAACTGGCTCCTCCCATTGAATCCCAGATGCCGTCATTTCGTAGGTGTTCTCATGATACCCATTTTCCAGATGAGGAACCTAAGGGTCACAGAGGTTAAGTAACTTGCCCAGGGTCACCCTGGAAGCTCAGAGCTTTGGTGAGTGTCAAACTCAGGGTCAGAAGATCCCAGAATCTATCTTCTCAACCTCTTCTTTTTCCAGAAAAAAAAGTTGCCTTGACTAGTAGATTCAAATAGCTCAGGCAAAGCTGGAAGGGAGGGGCTTGATGTATACAACCCGAGGTCTAGATAGATAGATGGATGCTTTGCACAAATATCCCCAGATGTACTTAGATAAATAGGTGGAGAGGCAGATGGATGATAGGTGAGCAGATACGTAGATAAATAGATATAATGTTTTGCACAGTGAGTAATTCTTTGACAGATAGGTTGCCACGAGGCTTGTAGATAAAATGGTTTAGGCAGTGGAGCCCGTAGAAAATTTATTTTAAAACAAAGATGAAACCTCTCCTTGCACATCAATAGTGTTTTGATAAATTTAAATGCTCATTATTTGATTCTCTCTTTCTCATTGGTCCCCAAGATGGCTTATCATTTCTGAATCTACTCCAATTTGGCAAGGCCTCTTGTCATTTAATTTTAGCCTCTCTGCCTGCCTTATCTTTCCATTCTGCACACACACACCCTGCCCCGCCCCACACCGAACAGCTTCACTGTCAATTAGTTAATAGCCTCTACTCAAATAGATGCCCTGGGAGTTGTAATGAAGGAACTCTTAGAGCAAAGATTTGTCAATCTGGGTATTTGTAAAGTTGGCTGTGCTTAGAAGGGAGCAAGTCTTCGTTTACGTGGAGATTTCTCCCAGGACCTGAAGATCAAGGGCATCAGGAGGAAAACTCCTGATTACTTGGTGTTCACCAATCCACCAGGTACTTGAATGTCTTTGATCAACTAACGGGGAGTATAAGAGGAAGGAGTTAACTATATTCACTTTCTTTAAAGATGATGCTGGGACCATGAGGATGGTGAGCGAAGCTCAGGAAGAAAGTGAGAAGTGGGTAGAATGAAATTAATACTTTAGAAATTGTGCCTATGCAAATTCATTCATCCGTTTGCTTATTCTAATAGTACTGGGGCCAGGCCTTGTGCGAGATGCTAAAAATACAGCCATGGACCGGACAGAAGGTTCCTTGCCCATGGAGCGCCCATTCTGGTTGCGGGAGTCCGTTAATTTCTGAACAAATAATTTCAGGTAGTAATAAGTGAACAGAAATGGACAAACAGTTTGTAAGCAGGGGCAGCTGGGCACCGCAGAGGAACTTGTTCAGGGAGGGCTCTCTCTCGAAGTGAGGTTCGAGCTCAGGAGCCGAGAGCTCACAGTTGAGAAAGTGTTACAAGCTCAGAGACCACAGTGATAGCGTTCGGAACATTTTGCATATTATATCTGGATTCCTATGAAAATAATGCCAGTTTTCCTTAGAATCAATTAAATCACTAGCTCCTTCGAGCTCCTTCAGGGCCTTCATGTCATTAGAATGTCAAGATGAATAAGGAATTACCTTATCAGGCCAGGGTGAAGGGAAAGGACTGGCAGGAGGTGGGGTGATCCGGGGGAGAAGGTGCTCGAATTTGGAGCCGGCCCGTCAAACAGATGTCCAGTGCGTCTCGCCAGGGTCAAAGGAACTTTGGATTTTATAATGCGGTGCTGATAATGGGGACTTATGTGAGAAATCTGGCTAACAGTTACCATTAGCTAATTGGCTGGCTCATGTTCTGCTGAACTAAAGCCTCAGACAAAACCAGCGGCTCACAACTGGGGGGTAAATTCACCAGCCCTGCCCAGGGGACATTTGACAGTGTCTTGAGACATTTTTGTTACGACTTGGGGGCGGGGCAGTGCCACGGTCATCTGGTGAGTAGAGGTCAGGGCTGCCGCTAAACCCCCCCCCTCCAAATACCCAAGAAAGAATTATCTGCCCCCAAAATGTCCGTAGCGCCAAGGGCGAGATACCCTAGCGCACCCCTATTTGCTCTGCAGACAGCTCATTTTACGAAGATAACCCCAGTAGTGGAATTGTGATCATGTAGAAAAGGGTATTGTCTTGTTTATGTTCCAGCGTCCCCCTCTCTGGTTAGTATCAGCCTTCACCCGCATCCAGGCTCCAGCCACGACCCATTCATCCCCCAAAGTCCCTGGGTCTGTGTTGACAGTGACCGAGTAGGCACGCAGAGTAATGACTCATGACACGTGTGAGTGTGTGCACAGCTAGGTAAAAGGGAAAAACACCTCTCAGAGATGGTTTCCTGAGAGATTTATGGCTCAACAGTGCAGAGAATATGCAGTGGTGAGAAAAAGATGAAAACGTAGCTACTTGGCTCTGGTTCAGAGAGGAACTGGCCAAGGCCCCTGGACCAGTGGAGCAGGCTTTGCAAATAACTCGATTTTGAGGCCTGGTTCCTTTCTCCCAGGCCGACCACAACCTCCTCTGTGCAAACTTGTCTCTCCCGAAGCTCTTTCCCCCACTCCCCTGGGGATAAAGCAATTGCCGTAGACTCGCTTCTCTTCCAGCTCCGGGCTTCGATTAACCTTTTCCTCCGTGGAGAGCGGTTTTTGGAGTAATCAGGGAGCTTTTGAATGGCCCTTACCTGAGTCTCCAGCCCATTAATTCTTATGGTGCCCAGCATCTGTTGAGAGGACAGCAAGACCAAATTGCTTCTCAGCCCGTCTGCTTTCCTCCCACTAGCCTTGGTGGGGCAGAACCTCTCTGGAGCAGACAAGGCTGGTTTTGAGACAGGCTAAGTCCCTCTACTGCGATCTTTCCCTCTGGGTCTGGCTTGCTGGATCTCTCATCAGGCCCAGTGGCGGTTGGAGCGGGGAGGTGACCAACTGGACCCCTGCCTAGGCAAAGGCAGGGAGGCTGGGCCCGGGCAATGGAAACATTCTCAGGGAGGATTTGTGGTCCTCCGGCCCTGGGCGTCTTTCTAGTCTCTGTGACTCAGGGTAAACGGTGTGATGCAATATTCCACAAATAGCAAGTTCCCCAAAGCCCAGCCACATGTACTGTTTCAAAAAATAGATCGTGTTGAGATCACTGTCCCTCTCTTCTTGGTGGGAGTTGACTTTGCCAAAGATGTTGAAGGTGTGAGTTTGGCACTTGACTTGAGAACACTTAGAATCATGACTCTTGTCAACAATGACTAATACACATAGAATATATGTTTATTCTGAGTGGGGAACTGTACATGGTACACGTATTTGTAAATTTAGCATTTTTAGCTAACATTCATTAAGCACGCATAGTATGTGCTGGGCACTCTTCTAAGTGAGCGCTTGGCATAGATTCGCTCACACAGATTTCACAAGTGTCCCCTATGGAAGGTGTTAACGTCCTCCCCATTTTCCAGACACACTGAGGCACAGAGGTTAAGATAACTTGTCCAGTAGCTAACAAGTGGGACAGCCAGGATTTGAACCTGGTCATCTAGCCTTTATCTGTCAGGTCATGCAACCCCACGAGGCAGGTACTAATCTTAGCCCATTTTTCAGATGAGCCAACTGTAAGGCCCAGAGAGACCAAGTCTCCTTTTAAAAGTAACACAGTAAGTGGTAGAGCCTGAATTAGAAATACCATCTCCTTTATTGCTTTGTTGCTGAGATACAGTTTAAATATAGAGATTAGACCTAAAGATAAGAGCTAGGTGTGCAGATATAAATATGGTTGTAGACCTGTAATTACCTAATATATATGTAACGTACAATGTATACATTATAATGGATATATTCTATATCAGATGTAATATATATTAGAAAAGTATAATTCTATAATCTATATAACTCTAATCTCTATCCAATTTATGTCCTATCTTTTTTTTAAAGACTTTATTTGTCAGAGAGAGAGAAAGTGTACAAACAGGGGGAGCGTTAGGCAGAGGGAGAAGCAGACTCCCCACTGAGCAGGGAGCCTGATGCGGGGCTCGATCCCAGGACCCTGAGATCATGACCTGAGCTGAAGGCATACGCTTAACCGACTGAGCCACCCAGGCGCCATGATATACGTCATTTCTAATGTATATATACATTATCTTGTATAATGCATGTATGTATAATGTACACAGTAGGAGCTATACGTGATATAGATTAGATATGGATGTAAATGTAGATTAGGTAGAGATTAGATGCAGTTAACAGTAGGTACACGTGGAGATTGAGAGGGAGATCACTCACCTGGCAACCCCAGGCCTTCGCGTCTGGAAATACGCGTCCCTGTGGAGTCAAGTGCAGGTGACAAAGAGGAGCTCCAGGCTGTGGGCGGCTTCTCCCTGCAGAGGGGAAGCAAAGTGGCCACACGTTGGGAAGCAGACACTCCCATTTCCCTTCCCGCAGACGCGGCTTCCTACAGAGACTCCCCAAACCCCGACTTCAAGCACGCACCGAGGCAGAAGCCCGCCCACCGCCGGACAGCCCGCTGGGCAACAAGGCAGTGTCACCAGATTTGCATGGAATTACAAGCCGAAGGCCCAGGGAGGAGGCAACGCAGACGTTTGGTATAAATATCAAACGGACCAGCATCTTTGAGGTTTAGTCTGTCTTCTCCACAGGGATTTTGGGCAGCGCTGTGCAAACCAGAGAGCTTAAAAAGAGAAGGTTCTGGTGCTAGAGTGTTCAGGCTGGGTTTTGAGGTTCTAGTTATCAAGATAATTCAGTCAAGAAAATCGCTTTTCATATGAAAGGGCAGCATGACAAAGTCCAGGTGTAGGAAGGACGTAAAAATCAACACGCAGGGCCCAGACTTGCAGAATTTAACGGAAGAGGGCCTCGATGCTGTTTGCTCTTGGTGTGTTTCCTCCGTACCTCGGACGGGGCTAAGCGCTTCGTACACGTGATCTCATCTAATCCTGACAGCAGTGCTTGGGGGAGGGGACCCTTGTCCCCCTTCCTTGCAGGTGAAGACCCAGAGGCATTGAGAGGGTAAATACTTGATCTAAGACCATCACGCTCTTGAGGGGTCCAAATGAAGCGTGTTGGGGGTCTTCTGTCCCCTGCCCCCAGCAGATCCACGCTCTACCCTTCTCCTCCTGTCTTTGGGCCCCCAGAGGCTTGACCTCGATGGGGTTCATCCGTATGGACTTGTCCTTGCTTTGGCTAAGAGGAGGCACTGGTGGGAGCTGGGAGGGTGGGAGGACAGTGGGATGGGGGTCATTTTCCATGTCTGCCGGTGTGGGCCACAGCCCCCGGAAGGACTGTCCTGTACAGCTTCGTTCTTCAGGATCCGATAACACCATTCCCCAGGGTCTTGCCAGCTCCCCACCATGGCTAGCCCTGCTTTGTTGCCCTTAGGAAGCATCTCTTTGTAAAGTCTCCCCCATTATTCCCTAGGGGAGTAGCCTCTCTTTCCTTCGGGAACCCCGCCCTGGCCATGAAGCTTGCCACCAGGCCCTTGCTAACACAGCACTGTGGGGGCGGGGGGGGGGGCACTGTCCTTTTCATGTCCTGTTTTGCTACAGTAGGTGCGGGGGAGGGGGGGGGGCCTGTCTTCAAACCAAAGGAAGGCCCCAGAATGGATGCACAGGAATGGTGAAGCTAGTGAAACAGAATGCCCAGTTGTGGGTGTAGGAGTATTTTTCTGGGCAGTGGATCATAGCTGTCTTTCTGTTGGTGACAACTCCCCCCAAACTGAGACACAAACATTCTCAACACCACTGTGCTAAATAAAGCATCAGAGGATCCACATATGTGAGAAGAGAGGCTCCAGACGGGACATTTTGCTCTGAGTCTCAGCACTCACTCACACCCCTTCTGTCTGTCTTGGCTCCAAGGCCAGGAAGGGCTGCTTCACCTGGGGAGGGACTCAGGTCTAGGGTGACAAGATGGGGTGGGGGGCAGGCCATCCACTCCTTCCAGCAGCCCCAGAACAGACAGACAGACAGAAGACAGATTCTTCTTGCCAGCAAGCAAGGCCTTGGCATACTCGCCTTTGTTCTCTGTCACACCTCCAGGAAATCGAATCATTTTAGTATTTGAATCCGTTTTCTCAGAAGTGCCACCACCCCTCCTTGGGCCTCTGAGAGCCACCGGGAGGGAGGGTCAGCCGTTGCCATTTCTCCAGCCCAGCAGGTCCTGTGGGGGGGGGGTGTCCTCTCACAGCGGGACGGAACAGTGAGCTGCCCCCCTCCCCAACTCCCTGCAACCCTCCCGCTGCCTTCAGTTGCCTTCCTGAGCAGGAACATCTTCTTAATAATGATAAGCCCTTCTCATTTTCTTCTGGGAACTGTAGCTCTGATTTTTTTCCACTGCAAGGAAGAGGAAAGGAGGAAGCATGGAAAACTAGAGTTTGCTCGGCGCAGGTGCCAGATGGGTGGGGCCAAGGACAGTTGGGCAGTTTCACTGTCCCCAGAAGGAACACCCCAGCCAACTCAGTGCTAGCGGAGAGAAACTCCAGCTGTAAAAGGGGCCTAAACCAGCTCCTTTTCCAGATGCTGACTGCCACAATTTATAATTTGGCTCCGGTTAATGGGAAGCAGGAGGTGACTTTTTCATTATGTGGCCCTAGACCCAAAGTTCTACATGAGCCTCCTGCTGAGTCTCTCCCACTGGCCCATGGTTTTTGTTTTGGGATTTTTTGGGGAAGGGGGGGCGGGGGAGAGGAGAAAGGGAAAGGGGGGTTGGAAGATTTTTGAAAAATTGGAAGATCAGTGGGCCTCTAGAAGTCAGCTAGTAGCAAGGAGCAACTTCCCCCTTTGGAGGATCAAGAGTCCCCACACAGCTTCCTGCCAGGACCCTGTTAGTAGCCCCGAAGTTGGAGGGTGGACAGGGTGAAGGACAGGGTCTCATCACTCCTGCTCTTCTGTCCCCAGCCCGTAGGTCATGTGTGGGTCTCCTCCACCCAGAGCCACCTCCTTCCTTCCTGATCCACCAGTGTTGCTTTGCCGAAGCGTCCCTGATGTTTTGGACTGGATCATTCTTCCTGGGGGTGGGGGCTGGCCTGTGCCCTGTAGGATATTTAGGAGCATCCCCGACCTCTACCCACTACCCCTTCCCAGTCGTAAGAACCAAAAATGTCTCCAGACGTGGCCACAGATGTCTCCTGGGGGTAAAATGCACCCCAGCTGAGAACCACCGGCGTCACCAAGTATGGTTTGCAGGGATTGTGTGCAAGTCAGCTCACTGTCAGGGCGCTTGTCAGGGTGAGGTCAGGTCCACTGGTTGGGCACCTTGCTGTCAGGGTCATTGGATTTTAAGTTTCTGCCCTCACATGAGCTCCTTTGGGCTGGGTTATAAGCAAATTAGCACCTGCCCGGCCTCTCAGTGGGGATGCGGTAAGATACAGAGGAAAGCTCAAACGTTTCTTCTTCCACTGAAAAACCAGCAAACCCTGAAGCACAAGAGGGTTGGGGGGGCCCTCGATGCACTCCTGGGGGATGAGACCCCAAGCCCCAGCTCTGATCCGCAGTGGCGGGTGGACTGAATCCTGGGCACGGCCCCAGAAGCCCGTCCCCTTGAAGACCGCAAGCGGGGGGCTGGCACATGGGCCGTGGCTTGGCTGTCTCAGGAGGGTGTGGGCTCGCCTGACCCCCGGAAATAGTCTGCGGTTTTGGGGCCGTCATGTGCTCTAACCCGGCTGGTAGTCGCTCCTGGTTACTGGACTCTCACTGTGCTGCCTTCAGACAAGCAGCTCTTTACTCTCTCCAGGCCATGAAAGAGTCCTGTGTGCGGAGTGTCAGCCTCAAACAAGCGGGCCGCTGTGTGCTGTGCGGGCTGTTAGATGTTGGCGTGTTACTTTGTCCTTGGGTGATCCTCCACCCTGTGTTCTGAGGGCAGCTGTGGCTGGGGACATATTTGGTTTTAATTTCCACTTATTAATCAGTTTTGGGTGGGTGAGGTCTTTTTTGGGGATTTATTTTTCATAGTTATTATCAATAGTACATTGTATTATTTTGTTACGTTACTGATTAATTCATTCACTGAATATTTATTGAATGCTTTCTATGTGCTAGACACTGTTTTAGGGGCCCGGGGTACGGCAGTGAACAAGGTAGAAGTCCCTGACCTCATGAGCTCACATTCTAGATAGACTGTAAATGAGAGATGTGTGTTCATATGTTTGTATCAGATGGTGACAAGTACTAAGGAGAAAAGTTAGGAGAGGGGTGGGCCAGGCCAGGTCAGTCAAGGAGGGGCGGCCCTTCGACTTTGGTGGGGCCAAGGAGAGCGTGGAGATGAGGGAATGTTCAAGCAGAGACCTAAAGAGCATGAGTAGGTGAGCCCTGCAGATAGGTAGAGGAACCGAGAGCAACCAGTGCAAAGGCCCTGAGGTAGGACGTGCTTGGCATGGTCATTCATTAGGAGCCGGTATGGGTAAAGCAGGAGTGAGCAAGGGGAAAAGGCGTGAAGGTGAAGCCAGATCATTAGGATCTTGTTGAACTTAGAAAGGCAAGCCTTCAGACGATTTTGAGCAGGGAGTGACATGGCCTGACTTTGGACAATGGAATGGGTGCCTGCCGTGCTGAAAGGGCACTGTAGTTGGTTAAGGGGAAGAGCGGGGAGATGGGGGAGGGAGGAGGCCATCACAATATCCAGAGCAGGGCAGCGGTGGTTTGGACCCGGGTGTTAACCATGGAGGCTCAGAGAAGTGGTTTGATTCTGGATCCTTCTGAGGGCAGAGCCACGGAACTTACTGTGGATTAGAAGGATGTAGAACAATACAAACACGCGATCAGAAATTTTTTTAAAAATCACATAATACAGGGAGTGTCAAGTGAGAAGTCAAATTTCCCGTACCCCTCTCCCCAGTCTTCAGAGGTAGCAACCATTGACCTTTTTCTCCTTTCTCTTTCCAGATTTTGCTTTGCATATTAGCACGTGTGGGGTGTGTGCATAGACAAGGATTTTATTTGTTTGCATGAGCTGGAATCTAATGAAACATATTTTATAACAACTCACGGTTTCTTTCTCTGTATCTTACACTCATTTCATATCCACACATACTGCTCGTCCTTACTATTTTGAATTGCCTTCTGATTTGTCCAGCTCGTTACCCAGCGCTCAGCGTGGTGTCTCGTGTGTAGAAACTATTCATTAAATACTAATTGAATGAATTCTTTCATCGTTTATGTCACTGACTTCCTGTTGGTGGACATTTAGATTTTTTTTTTTTTTTCTGTTAATGCTGGCCACTGTCGTACACACAGCTTCTCAGCACTGAGTGTGTACATGTGTAGGGTGAAGGACTGAATTTGGGATCATGACTCAAAGGGTGTGTGCATTTGACATTTGGACAGATGTAGCTGAATTCACCTATACAGAGCTTTCTTCTGATCACTTCTCAAAGCGACTTCCTGTTTTCACTTTCAAAAGCAGTGGTAATTATCAATCTGTCAGTCTTCATCTCTGTCAAGCTGATGGGGTAAAAACACTATATTGCTGCTTTGATTTGCATTTCAGAAAGGAGTGGGTTGCAGTATTTTTTTTTTAAGCGGTATCTGTTGCTTTTTCCTGGGTGCCGGAGGAGGCCTCCTTGGAGACGTGATAAATAAGACTGGCCTAGCCAGCCGCTG